GCACATTAATATCTGCATTTATTACACCAACCTTGCGAGTATTCATCAACCTTCACATCTACTGCTTGCTGTATAGTCCACAGGAATTCGACAGATTTATAAAGTAGAATAACAAGAAAGATCCTTGGCCCCAAATCGAGCAACCTGAACACGATGTATATTTAGGTGTGCGAACCTAATGATTCAATTATTTAACTATATCAAAACAATAATGCGCTACCGGCTTATATTATGTACAAGATCATTATTTGGTTTATTTTTAAAATTTCGTTTAGAACACGCGGTTCTACTGTCCTTTAGATAAAAAAATATATATATATAATTAATAGAAAAGTAATATATACCAAATTAATAGGAAGTAATATATCCACGTTTTTATACTTTTATACCTCATCATCGCTTGTCTCTTCAGTTCTTTCTTTCATACTTTTCTTAGACTTTTCTTGAGCACTATCAAAAAAATTATTTACTTTTCTTCTTTCTAATATACGGCGTAAAGCATGTGTGGACACAGGTCTCGCGCCAATGTCTCTTAATGTCAACTCAGACTTAAGCTTCCAAGGATCATCGATTGGTTCAGGAAGAGAAAAAAGGAATGGAGGTCCGAATCCAAACTTTGCGTTTACATCAGTGTTTGAAGACGAAGTTGTTATAGAAGTCAAAGAACCTGAGATAAATTGTTATATTAAAAACATCGTTCGGATTAAAGTTACAAGTAAAATATAGTAGAAGAATCAAACTACGTTTTTTTTGTCTAAATCCTCTTCCATAAGGTTTTAACGCGTTCATTGGACTGGTCTCACTTTTGATATCCATTTGCTTTCCCGATTTCCAGACTTCACGTAAATATATCTCGAAATTCTAATCATGTGATAAATGTTTACGATAACCAAAATGTTACACAATTAAAGGTCATAATTTATATTGATTTTACTGTAAGTGTATTAAGCAAGCCTATTACTGGTGAAACTAAATAATGCTGGTGAAACTGGTGACTATCTAAAATCTGATTGGCTGTTATATTAAATTTCACCATTTTCACCAGTTTCACCAAGAGTTTCACCAGTTTCACCAGCATCTATAATTTTTACCCCCCAATGTTTTCTTTGCATAGCCGTGGGGCCTATATGAAAACGAGATATTAGCATTTAGGAAGGTAAAATTAAAACTACGGTACTTCGAATTTATTGAACCAGAATTTTCATATAAACTACATGATTATATAGAGGTTGTAATTTTTAAGGATAACTATGTGCTATATGGCACCCTTTAAATACCCTAGCGCAGTGTGTTGTGTGTTGTTAAAAAGATATGAATTAATAAAATATATACGTATAACTTAAAATAACTACGTGCAAGCCTTACTTTAACAACGTGTATTTAGAGAATAATAAGAAAAAGTGCATTTATGAAGGTCAAGTATATATTTGGGTCAGAACTTGAGTGTGCATTTAGAAAGGGTGTGTACTTACAGAGGGTGCACTTAGAGTAATTTCCTTTTATTTTTGGATTTTTTTTTTGTTTCTTTTAGCGAGATACAATGACAAAAAATCATTTTTTAAAATTGATATTTTTTCATCACAATTAGTGGCAGAATCTAATTTTGATTTTTTACATGTAGCAAAAGTTTTACTATCGTCCTCATCCTCAGATTTATTCTCCCTTGTTATTTGTTTATTTCCGCTGTGGTTATTCAAATTATCATCTTCATTATGTATATTTCTTTGTATTAATTTATGTTTTAGATTCTTTTCGGAAGTTAATTTGTATTTAACGCTACTAGTTCCACCAACCCTGTTCATTTGCACAGAATATTAGGTAAGACAGTAGTTGCAAACGAGTCCAGCTCAAACAAAAGATTACAGAAGTTTCACCTCGTTGCATGTAATTCTTGTATAGATTTTGTTAATTGGTTTTCTTGTTTTCGCTCTTCCTCCTCTTCTTTCTCCTTTTCACCAGGGTCAAGTGGTGGTAACCAAGAGTCAACTACAGAGGAAACCAAATCAAATGAAATATCAAGTTTAGTTTTTATGGCCTCTAATTCATTAAGGCGTTCTTCTGAATTCGACATAGTTCTATATTTATAACGATTACCGTTACAATAACATATTTTATCATTATAGTAAATCACATGATAATCAAATGACAAGGTAAACCAGCATATGAACACTTAACACTGTTAATTATATGACATGTTTACGTAATTTAAAATCGAATTTGATAATCATATTAAAATAAACTTAATAATGCGTGGAAAATTAGCCTCATTGATCGCATAAGATCACAGTAAATTAGTTATATATAGAGTTAATAAAACATCTATGTAACAATTTAATCTTCATCCATACGATCGCCACCTTGGTCCTCGGCATTATCCTCTTCAGGGTTATTTCTTCGTTGCCTAGACACCTGCTCTTGAATTGCACGAAGAAACGCTTCAACTCCTGAAAAAAATAGTAACATAATTAATTAAACCAATGACGTTTATACATTTTTCAAGCAGTTGTGAATAAAAATCATACCACTCCCTGCTGATGGATCAAGGCCTAATTGAGTAAGGAGGGGACCCAACTGTCCTGATTGTAAAGCAATGCTTAAAGACTGCAAAGCCTATAATTCAGGATAAAATTTTCACATTACCAAACTTGTTATCACAATAATGGCTAAAATTATTGTGGGGTTGAAGCTGAAATTTGGGGATCTAAATTTAGATATACTAAATCTACTAAAATCCACTCTTTTATTAACAATTATAACCTAGATTTGATCCCTAATCCTCAAAAAAATGCCCTCAAAAACTTATTAAAATTTCAGCTTTAGCCGCCACAATTATTAAAGGATAGTCTACTTGAGCAAATTGTGGGCTTTGAATAACTTCTCGTAATTCCTCAGGTGTTCTATTGATATCGCTAGGTAAATGTGGGAACAAAGCTGAACAAAACAAAATCAAAAAACGGTTATGATCAATAAATTTAAAATTTTTAAAATAAGAGGTGTTAGCATGTTATACTACCGGACGCTATTTCAGGGTCGTTTAATAATGGGCTGATATAAGAGGGTGTGATAACATCAATAAGATTCACATCTACATATGAAGTAAAAAGTTTTTAACATATAAGATTATTAAGATAATATGAATACTTAATCTCTTACCAGACTGTTGGTTTACACCTTCTATATTAATAAAGTATAAAAATAGTTCGAATTAATGTTGAGCCAAAACGATAACAATAAAAAAAATTACTCACCTGGAACCTGTATTTCGGACAAAATATTTCTCAAATTACCTAGCTGCTCAGGAGTAAGCATGTTTTCAGATGTTTGTGCCCCAGAGCCAGCCTCTGAAGTTGCAGCTGTGGTCGATTGTGGTTCACTAGCGGGTGTGGTAGATGTGATGGGCAAGCTTCCACTTTGAATAGAATACTAATATTAATCATTTACGATTTTAAAAGTTTATGATCATACAGTTTATGAAGATCTTTTTACCCGAAGGCACTATGTCCCTGAAGTAATTGCAATATCTGTTCCTGATCCACTTCAAATCCGGATAAGTCATCCATTGTACGAAAAGGACTACCCAGTGGACCGGTGCTACTAGTACCTTGTTGCCTACTTTCAGTCAATCCATTAAGCAATCTATTCACCTTATTAACATTCTCTTCATCTTTATCATCTTTTGCATCTTGCATCCAAAAGAACAATTTTTGAGATGATGATTTAAAATTGAATAAATAAACTCGACCAGTGGTACATTGTTCTACACGAATAAATTCTGCTTCTTCAGGGAACACTATTAAATCCTATATGATATAATTGTTAATACGAGTTTCAGATAAAAGACACTATACCATACAAATAGCATACATCTTCCACAGTTCCAGTTTTTCTGTCTTTCCAATAAAAATGCATCAATGAGTCATCGCCCTTTATAAGGAGTACAGGAAAAAAAACTGGTTAAATTAAACGGCCCTAGTATTTTACTAAGCAGGAATCAGTACTAACCTGATCCATATAAATAAGACTTCAGTTGTTTCAGCATAAGAGTTTATTAATATTCCGCTGTGATGAGTAGAGTAAAAGCATAAGGTCAAACATTCTTTACAACACACCCTTTCCTCTCGTCCGCTTTTAATGTATTCGATGTTCCCTCTCGCTTAAGTTTGCCAGCTTTAAATTCCACAGGGTACTTGCGTCGTGGAACTGGTGCAGGAAATAGCGAAGTCGACATTGTAGAAAATTTTTGAAATATGTAAGTATGAAGTTGAACCAAGTTCTACATACCAGTTTTTTTGGTATATTACGTAAGATGGGTGGCTTAGCCATATATCAGTCGATCCAGATGTCACACATGACATTTTATCATATGATTTTCATAAATTACACAAATCGACGAAATCACGTTTTTAAAAATTTTGCCCAAAGTCTTAGTTATAATACACGACGTTTCTTAAAACAAAGTTGTTGCCAGGGTTTCAACGAGTCGAACAGTATAAAGAACGTGAAAAATTAACGTCACTTTATAATGTGCGATCTCTTCGAAGCTGGGCAATTATTTTGTTTTTTTTCATAAGATTCTTTTTGAGTTTGCAAGATCTTGACTTGATTAATAGCTTGTTAGATGCGCACGGTCGAGAACTCTCTACAAAATGCATCTTCAAGATAAGGGTATGTTATAAAAATGTGGAGAAATTTAAGAAAAACTGTTTTTATACTATGTAGATTGCGAATTTTGGCAATTAAAAAAATTTTTTTTTTCTTTTTTAGCAAAAACAATTTTGTAAATTTATAAAAATGCATTCAAGGTAAATTATTCTGTTTATTAAAATTTTTCTGGGTACAAATTTTATATAATTTATAATTTCTAAGATACTTTTTTTGATCTCTTATAGCGGTTATACCACCGATTCCAAATTCAAGTTGGTGTTCAATATTCATATGGCAACAATTCTTGGACTAACTTATTGACAAAATCTCTAGGTAATATAGTAGAGTCTTTGTATATCTCAAGTTGTCCTAGAATATTTTCTTTTTCAGGTTTAGTTTTGTGTATTATATGTGGTTTTCGAGACATGGATTCAGAAAATGGATGAGTTTCACATAGTGGCGCTAATGGTAAGTTTTGATTTGTTTCTTCAATTTCCATGTCATTTAATTCTGAAGTATGCATAGAACTATTGCTTGCTTCTATATTTATTTGTTCTGTTTGGTCATCTTCTCTTATGTGTTTATTTCTTTTGTTTTTTGCTACTTTCATAAGTATTAAATTTATATTTGATTGATCATGTTCTACATCCGCTTGGCAGTTATGCAATGAATATTTCATGCATCTATTATATTCATTCTGTTAATTCCTGACTGGTAACAGTGAAACATCTGTTGGTAATTAGCATCTGTCAACTGTGATGTTTTTTCAAACAAAACATGCGATTCTGGTCGTGGATTGCTAAATGCTGTTTTAAGTTTATTACTTAATTTCCAGGTTGCTTCTTCACGATTTTTAACAACCTGTAGGTTTTTACTTATTGACCAATCTCCAGTAACTGCTGAAATTAAAAAGTTAAGTCGTTCATTTTCTACTTGTGCTGCTTTGGTATTTCACTTTAGATTTTCTGAATTAGTTTTATATCCAACCATATTTTCTTTTATAAATTTTACACCATATATTTCTAAAGCTTCATCATAAGCGAAGTAATGACCTTCTTGTGTCATATTTATTAAAGGTACAGACTGAAGATCTTGAAGAAGCTGTGGATTGCTTTGAAGATTTGCCAAAAATCGTGCTACAGACTCCATATATCTTACTCTTCTTGTTACTGGAAATAAGGAAGCAAATGTCATTAAGCTATGCATTTGCAGGTCGAAGTTTGCCATACGAATTCCAAGTTTGTGTAATTTTAAATATCCAGCCCATCAGTAAAAATTATACCAAACTTTTACTAAATTATTGTTTTCTACAGAAATTTCTTCAATTGAAATATTTATTTTTTTACACATATTGATAAATTGCAATTCTAACAGCTATCCAAACAAGACCAAGTACCTGGAACGTCGACCGATAGTTAACATTTTGCTCAAGTTTATTAAGAAATTTAACACCAAGATCTGCAACAAGTCCAAAAAGCTCATATCCTGAAAAGTTAGTAATTAATGTGCTACACATTATTTTGTTTGTATGCCATTGTTCTAGGATACAACACACCTTTTGTTCTTCGTTTTTGTAAGTTTTTATACGACGATATATTGCTTCATCACATACCACATTTAATACACCATTCTCAGTATAACCAAAATCTTCTAAATATATATCTACAGCTTTATGAACATTCTTATCTTTATTCAGAGCTTCTTTTGCTTCAAAAATTACGACATTCAGAGGTTTTAAGAACGATACCGATTCAATATTTTCTTTAAAAGCAGCGTCAATATCTTCAATACCAAATGTTTGTTTTTGATTAATTAATTGACTAAAAATTGTATCTATTTTTTCATTCAACACTTCTATCATAGGGCTAATACCAAAAAGATTTTGAATTTCAAATGGCTTTAAATTGTCAAACCCTAGATGTTCAAACTGAAAAACTATTCGCAACGTTGCATATACAGTAGAGCGAACTATATCATAAATATTGCTGTATTGGAAAGTTTTATCTTTTATATTAATATAATCAATAACAGCAATATTTAAAATACTTGGATTTAGATTTAAGTCGAGGAGTCTTGAATGAGGATTGTATTTAATATTCATTTTTTTTGAATACTTGTTTCATAGTTTCTAATATATGCTACAACCCAAACCATGTGAAGAATTTTATATAAAGATCCTATTATATTTGGTCATTGGCAAAAAGAAGAAAGTATGTAAGTGAACTATATTTTTCAACTGGGGAAAGCAATGATAAGTAGTACCGAAAAGAAAAAAAGGTAATTTATTTTAATTTTTTTTTTTATCCAATTGTGGTGGTAACAAGCCTCGTTCTTTTCATTTTCTGGCTAACGCTTTATTTTTATTTTCTATTAAAACTGAAACGAGGCCTGAAAAAAAGCTTAGAAATGATAATGACATAGTATCATGATATTCATCCAGAGATTTTGGCTCCTCAAATGAAGGTAATCTCTGTTTGAGTTCTAATTGTTTTTGTAACAGAGAATGTGCAAGTATTTTTCCAAAACCATTGTATGTGGTGGGTTCCAGTAGTATTGCTTGTATTTTTTTACTAAGATCAATTTTTTTATAGCAAATGTGGTATTAATTAAAAAAAGACTAGGAGCTATAGAGTCCAAATAAATGTAGGAGGCATAATAACAGTATCTTGCAACTCGCGGGCACCAATAGTAATATTGCCAAAAAACTTAACAAGTTCTTTTAATAGATTAACCTTTATAGAACCATTATTCGATTTAGCAACCCGTTCAATCTATTTGCTAAATATCATTAAAGCAAGTGTAGTATCTGTGTCATGTTCTCCTTGGTCTGTACATGGAACTGTCTTTTTATTGATCTTAGGTCAAATATGCAAATGGCCTCCATGTGCTACAAAACAATCCGTACAAACAAATCGAGGTCTATTATTGTCTAATTGATTAGTTGATAGTCCTTTATATTCAGTAATTGCTGGACAATTGTATAATTCACGGCATGAAACTTGGATTCTATGTCCACAAACTGTTGGTGTATGTAGTAAACATGTTTCGTCTCTTGTAAAAAAGTATTTTAATTTATTGCAAAAAAGACAGCGACGTGATGAAATTATACTTTCTTCTGCTGACTGTTGTTCTCTTATGCCTGAGTGTAATTTTTTATATTATAGTTGAGATGCTACATACAGATACCTAGTTTTGAGCCACTATTTTCAATGTCTTTTACAACTTGAGAAATAAGCTCCCACACATCCAATAGTTAATTTATACTTCGAACCCCACATTATTGCATCTTCGAATTATGATTAAGCTATCAGTATTTTCATTATCTATAACAACACAATTTGTAAATTTTGCAGCACGATCTATAGCAAAAGGAAGTGGCATATCAAGTTTCTCAAGGATTTCTATTTCATTATCACCACTCTCAAGTAATTCGATACTCTCAATTAATTCATCTTCCATTTCTTCAGCAGATTTGGTTATTTCTTTCATTGCTTCATATGAATCCCAATCAAAAGTGAAAACATCATCAGCCACTGCCGCTTGTTCAATATCAAGATTAGATTCTGCGTTAAAATCAGATTAAATTTCCTTCTCGAGATTGAGCGAAGCTTCATATAAGAGTTCCATTCTTTTTTTTTGTTAAGTATTTAAATAATTGTGTGTATAGTAATTGTGTTTCAAGACGATTTTGTAGTTTGCAAAGTTAAATAGGCTACTATTTATATTTTTCACACATTATAATAGAGTGGTCGGTTGGAATAATTAGTCTGTTATAGTGAATCTTGACTTAAAGCTTTTTTTAATTTTGTAGTTTCTATTTTTTCTATTCGAACATAAATTAATTTGTTATAGCAAATCTTAACTTAAATCTTTTTTTAATTCCGTATTCTAATTCAATTAATCCGTTATAGTGAATCCTAACTTAAAGGCTTTTTTAATTCTGTAGTTCTATTTTTCTGAAGCTTCGAGATCTTTGAATTTATAAGATCTTCGCTGAAACCTGAAAATCTTCCCGAAACCTGAGTTAAAACCGCTAATGTTTAAACTTTAACCCCTAATAAAGAGTTTTTATGTATCCCAAACTGTTATTGATTTTATTTATACTTGTTTAATATTTTATTTAACAATTTATAAAT